ATAGGGAATTTAGAAATCAATGGGCCTCTTCACCATAGGGGCGTGACTAACCATCCCCACCCAGTCCTCAAACAGGCCACGCTCAGCTTTTTAGCGCAGAGCAACTTCCCGGAGTCTTCACGGAGACTTCAGGGTTGTCTACCGCTGACGAAGCTTCTGTGAGAGAAGCGAAACGTCCTTTTTTGTTTTTTGTTTTTACCCACAGGTACAGATGATGACTGACAGAACCCTTTCTACGATTTCCCTCTAATGAAACAATCACCCAGAAAGAGTCAATTGTATTTTTCCCCCTCAACAGAAATACTGTATTATACTGTATCTCAAAACTCACATCAACAACTTTGCTGAAGTACCGGATCTCAGATGCAGTCATCTCGTTACCTCTGCGTCCCGCGTCCTAGACGCATAATTTTCTCGCGGGACGCACAGTTCCAAATAATGTGCGTTTTTGGGATGCAAGGAAATTTCTCAGTCAAAACAAGCGTCGCAGTTCGGCAATCGCCGCCATTGTTGTTTTGATCTCGCGTTAAGTAATCTCGTGTGACGAGATTTCCGTTCTCGCAAGATGAGATTGGCGTGATCGGCCTTTAACCTCATGGAAAGCAGACGATTGCCAAGTTGTGTAACGTTATAACAAGTGTTGCGGACAAGTGTTGCGAAAGTTTATTGCTGAGATATCACAGAGGAAGCAGCTAAAGTTGGATCTTTTTTTGCGATAATAAGTTGACTTTGAGAAAATCTTGCATCAGTGGAAGCAGAGTAAAGAGAGGAGAAATTATGAACTCAACGACTGAACCATAGGATGAAATAAGAACCTATTTCTCAGCAAATCTTGTCTACCTGAATTAATTAAATTTTTGCGGCATTTGTTTATAAGAAATAAAACTATTATCAATGTATATTGTTGTTGTTGTTTGTGTTATTATCTTATGCAATTGAATAAGTAGACCATTTCAGAATTCGAAATTTGGGACTCTCGAAATGCATAATGGCACTCATACTTTTCTGATCAGCGAGTCCCTGGGACTCGCTGGGGTTAAACTGTAAAATGATCACTGCAGATGGTAATCCTAGTAGCACTGGTTGGTCCTGCTAATCTGTGCTAACACTACAGCTCTGCTTACCTTTTGGCGTTGACATAAAAGTGCTTCCGCATAGTCTGTCAGCCAGACTCAAGTGGGCTAGGCCAGTCTTTCTCACAATTTGGTTGGAGTACTACTAGTGGAGTACGAGTTCTCAACTGGTATGTGAAAGAATCAAAACCTACATACAGTTCAGGTGTATTTAACTTTTTAGTACAGTAAATTTGTATTTATTCCATTTTTGGTGTTTTCTATAGTTACAGTAAAGCCTGAAATTACTCATACCCCACCCCAGGGGTCTGAATAAGGGCTAGTGTGCGCAGTGTTGTGAGTTCGTTTAGCAGTGTGATGACCAAGCCCCCCCTCGCTGCACATCTTTAAAACTAATCTCAAAACTCATTCATATTATTTGGTTTTTGACTCAGCATGACTCAGACTTGATCTTAGTTTTACTGTCTTTGTGCTTTCTACTGTCTTCGTTATTAATTTGCTTTGTTTATTGTTGTATCTATGATATTTGCTCCATGTACGGCACTTTGTACACAGCAGTGGTTGTTTTAAAGTGCTCTATAAATACAGTTGAGTTGAGACCAGTGGGTTGTGTCATTCTTATTTCGGTGTCTCTAAGCAGAGCGTTACAACTGGCTATAATCTGTTCCACCAAAATGTTTTGTTTCAATGTTTTGTGCAATGTTTTCCATGTTCCCACGTTACCGCGTAGTGATCGTTAAATTGTCACCAAGTCAAGTCCCGATAGTGGCACCAATGCAGTGTCACAATAAGCACAAACTGGAAGTGCTGCTTCTATATTTTGTTGTTCTACTTCTTCCTTTCATAACTTTGCTGCTGTGAATTGGGAATTTCTCCATTGTGAGACTAATAAAGGTTTTCTTATCTTATCTTAAATGTCGTTAGTTTAACTACGCTTTGTTTAATATGACTTATGTCTTAACCAATGTGGTGTACATGTTTATTGGCCTAGTTTATGTCTTTGTTTAGGAAAGCCACAAAACACACCCATAACCAAAAATTCATAGCCCACAATAATGTACAACTGTTGTGTGAAGATAGAAGTGAAATGAATGAGGAAAACTGGACAAGAGTAAGGAAAGACAAACGCATGCCCTCTGTATTTATTGGGAATCATTTTGAATTGGCCTCAAGTGAAGAACTCCCCTACAATCGTAGTTTCTATATTTGGGTTGAAAAATACTAGTGTCGTTGAGTTATTTATCACTCAGACATTATAAATGTCAAGAAATAATAGTGCTTTGATTGATTGATTGGAATCTAATATGCAACAGGCTGTTGTGCCACAAAGTAGCTTCGAAGCCTGTACTGTATGTGTGTTTGCACTGTTGCATTCGAGCCACACATGCACACATGCATGCAGTAGTTTATTGGGTGATAATAATTGGGCTCCCCATGCATTTCATGTGTCCCTATGAAGGCGGTGGTCTGGTGACAGGCCTGGTGGCACCTGTAGGGCCAGGATTTTTTTGGGGGGTTGGGGGGTGCTACATAATGTCAAAAGTTTGAGAAACACTGGCCGAAGCGATAGCAGTCTTGCTGCCCTATCATGTTGTGAGGGTTATGTAATTGCAATGTCACAATCTGGCAAATTTCCGAACACCTTTGTAAAGATACATTTTCAGAATTAGGCACATAACTAAACATGTACTTGGTTGTTAAATTTCACATTCAGTGAGCACTCCAGGGTCCCGACTATTTGTGTGGAAGAAATGAAAAAATATATTTTCTACAATACTATGTCCCCTTTGTAATGCATGACTGTTTTTGGTAGACTCTTACTGAAAAAGTGTTCAGGTTGATAATGCTTGTGGGACAGGGGAGAACCTCCCTATTTAACGTCAGCCTAACTTTGGATGAATCACAGGTGGCTGAGCAGAGCTTCTGAGGCCTTCTCATGGGGAAGGGAGTCTGGAGGGGTGGGGCCGTACCCCTGTGGAAGGGTTGAATGAACATTGGAATGCAGGCTCAGCAGTCAAGAGATCAAATGACAAGAAGCAAAGAAGTGGTTGGCTGCTGTCAAATAACGGTGCGGAGCAGGGGTGTTGATTTACAGAAGCTGCGTAACGTGGCCTGTTACGTAACCTTAAGTCAAGAACATTTACGTACTATGAAGCAAGAAATGTATGCTATTCTGTCAGATTGAGCCATCTCACGGTGGGAAGACTCTTTTATTCAATGGGTTGAAAAGTGCTACAGTACTGCATAATGTCCCTTGTAGTTAGCTGCGTGGAAATGGCTGGAAGGGGCTCGCTCTGCCGAATAACTCCCGACAGTATTCATTTCAAAGCGCCTCCAGCAAATTTGAAGATACATGCATTTGTCACTGCTCAGAGACAACATTAGGGATTAAATTTCGTTGTCCATGCAGGATTCCAAGAGCATTGATTGCACGGAGGCAAAGGCAATTTGTCTTCCTGACAACTCTTTTCCATCGCATCATGTACTTGATGAAATCCTGAATCCATATTTCCATTTAGAATTCTGCCACAAATATCTTTGAAACTAAATCAATGCTTGCTTCATTTTTTTTTTCTTGTGTAGGTTTGTCTCATCTTGTGGGATCATCCCTCCTGAGGGCGTACATGCATGGCTATTTCATGGACATTAGGCTGTATCATAAGGTATGATGTTGCTGCGCTACAGGTGGAATATTTCCTTCACAGCCGTTGCTGGTAAATGATTCCGGCTGAACAATTCTTAAAATAACACTGGTCAACAAATATTGACTGAAATTTTTTATCATAAATGCTTCCGGCTGAACAATTTTTAAAAATAAGACCGGTCAACAAATATTGACTGAAATTTTTAATCATAAGTGCAAGTAAGCTTTTGCAGATTTTTTTTTTCTTTCCGGATTCAGAATTGGCCCTCGTTTTTTTCATTAACACATCACATTTTCATAATAATAAAATAAGATATAAAGTAGTTCTATATTTTGTAATATTTATGAATTCAGTGGTTAGGTTCAGCAACAGGTGTATTTTATTTCTGAAACGTCATAGCTATTGGATTGGATTGGATACAACTTTATTGTATTTGATATGATATGATACTTGATTGCAATGCATGTTAAATCCATATCGGGCAAGCTTTTAAATGTCAAAACTTAAAAAGAAAAAATGAAAATATCTCAAAAACCTGAGTTGCTAAGATCCTTTTGAAATCAGCATCAAAAAGACCTTTAGGGACACATAAAGCCATCTCTGATTCAAATTTGCTGTTGACCGATACGAAGTGCAACCCATAGAAATGATCATTTTGATAATGAGCATAATTTCAATTCAAAATGTGTTGCGCACAAATGTGGATGTTTTTTTTTTTTTTTTTGTCCCCCCCCAGGTCAAAAGCATGGCAAATCCTTTTGCATACGAGGAGTATCGCAAGGATAAGATCCGGCAAAAGATTGCGGAGACGAGGACCCAGAGAGTGCAGGTTAAGGTGAGAAATTCCGAGACCATGACAAGATTCTTCCAGTTTGCGTTTGTAGCTACAGCACATTGTTGAGCATAGGGTGCCAAATTTCTGTGTGAAGAAATAAACTTTCACAGCTTAAAAAAAAAAAAATGAACTAAAAGAGAACAAGAAGCACCTCTGTTATTTAATTACCACACTTTAAAACTGCAATTCAATATTTGATTCCTTAAACTCTACCAAACTTACCAAACAAAAGGCTTTGAGAATTGCTCTGTGCAAAACATGAAAAGACACACCCCTCAATTAACCTGGAACCTGTTAAATTTATATGTTGACACTTAAAGAATAAAACTGATGGTGAGCTCTGCCTTGGGTTGCTTGTTTGGTTTAGGAAGTTGATATTTACCGGTAATCTTGAAGAAAAAGAAAACAATGTGGGCTTCATAAAAACTACTTTGAAACTACTGTATGCCTTCAAGCACCAATAACTGTTTAATCAGAGCAAACTGTCAGTCACCACATAACTGCAATCCAAATGATTTTGTCAGAAGCAAGCTGTGCACTGTCACAATAATTAGCAATTTGTGGTGTTGCTCTTTGTGCCTGAATCAGACATTGCCGAAAGTCAACAAGGAGCTGGCTCTGAAGCTGATGGAGGAGGGTGATGATGAAATAGAGCTGACTGCCAGGAAAAAGAAGGGCAAGGTAGGCAGACTTGGATAACAGCACTTGCCGGCGTCACCGAATTTGCAATTCTAATTTTGCTGTTGAAATTGCAGGCCCTACCCACCGTTTTAGGCGATAGCCGTTTCAAAGTGATGTTTGAAAACCCAGACTATCAAGTGGATGAGCAGAGCGAGGAGTTCCGCTTGCTCAATCCCATCGTCTCCAAAGTCAGCCAGAAGAGGAAGAAGAAGCTGCGGCTACTAGCTCAGGATGCCACCTTCCAGGTGAATGCTGCACTTAACGAAAAGCTTGTCAGGAAGCAGACATTACAAATGAGTACCACAGTTTGAAATACAATTAGCCTTCACTCTCAAGAAAATAAGCACCAATGATTCTGCCACCTTTTTATAGGATGCCCAAGAAAATGACGAGGAGGAGGGTCGAGCGAGCTCTGAAGAGGAAAGCTCAGATGATGACAAGAGCTGGGTGGAGGAAGTGAGAGAGCAGCGAAGATTGCTCAATGAGGAGGCCCGAGATCGCCGGCGGAAACAGAGGAAGGACGCCGACCGTAACACGGTCCTGCTGGAGAGCAAAAGCAGCGAAGGAGAGAAAAACTCGATCACGACTGAGAACAAGAAGACGAGCCAGCCTCAGTTCTATCAGATTAAAAGTGGGGAGGAGTTCCGTGGTTTTAATGATGTCTCCCGCAAGCAGAAACTTCAGAAGTATGTCCTATTCCCAAAAGGGCTCAAATCATAATTGTAGAGAGCTCATCAACATGAAATAGGTCAAACACACACTTACTGTGCACATTTTCAGCACTCTGCTCAATGAAAATGTTTTTTTGTTCATGTGTGTGCCTCAGGGCTTCCCTGGAGGAACGACTGAAGTTAGAGCAGCACTCTGGAACCAGCAACATGGCTGACGCCACAGTGGGAAGCAAGCAGCTTACTTTTACACTGAAAAAGGTAGCCCGCCCACGTCTTACTGGACCCCATAAAATTCTATCAATGACTTTGCAATGACATGCCTTGATGGGGAGGAATATAAATCTTTTCAAGGCGAGATATTATTAGATTGGCAACATCCACAGCTGGCTAAGAAAATGCCAAACAGCCAGACCCAGAAGCCTATCTGGCCCAAACTTTAAACCAGTCTTTGCCTACCTCTGCCCAAAAAAAAAACAAATCAGCAAAAAAGAATGAAACAGAGATTGAATAACAACCCCCCCACCCCCGTGTGTGTGTGTGTGTGTCTGTGTCTCAGTCTGAGCAGCAACGGAAGCAGCAGCAGGCAGAACGGGACCACCATGAGGAGAGGAAGAAGCTGAGGCGCTCGGCCGGGCACCTGAGCAGTGCGCGTGGGAGGGGTTGGGGTCGAGGACGAGGACGAGGAAGAGGAAGAGGAAGGCTCTACGGAGCCAATACCCATCTGCAACTGCCTCAAGCCAAAGTTACACCAATTAGACAGATGTCCGAAATAGCTGAACTGTTGTTTTTAAAAGTGGCCATGGCTATGAACAGATGAGTTACTACCACTCGACCTTGTCATTTTTATTTTATTGATTTCATTGTTTGTTTCTTTCTTTCTTGGAAAACATTTTTGGGTGGTATTTGCTCAAAAATTATTTTTAGTAAAAAAAAAAATACATAATGATCTAATATTCTGTTTTCTTTTCGTTGCCAAAACTAATCACAGGCTCTTAAAACAACTCAAACTGTGAAAATATTCTTGCCTGTTCTCTCTTTGCCAACTAGCTGTGGTATTCTTTGGAGCAGCTACGCACCTACTTGCGTCAGTCATGAAAGAAGGGGAGGAGAGAAATGTGAGTGGGTTTTTTTTCCCCTTTCACCCTGCCAACAACTGTAGTTCTTGGAAATCGGAATGCTTGTGTCCCCCCTCCCCCCTTCTTCCTGTCCCCAATGGGATGGATGGCGTGAACCCCCTTCTCGACCACCATTGACCTTTTTCAAATGTGGTGTAGCTCCCCCAGGCTCATGTCATCTTAGCCATTGTGCTTTAAAGAAAATAGTGGTACTCTTCCAATGAGGGATTGACTGGAGCGCCATGTCAGTACAAATACAATATTATGGACATTTACTCCAAAAGCGCCAGATTTAATTTAATTGCAAGGTATGCAAAATTTAACAACGCAGAAGTGAAGACTGATTTGTCCCACTTTAGCATCAATCAACATAAAGGAAAATATTGGGTAATTTGTTTCATTTTCCATTCACAATGCTTCACCATGACAACAGACTGTCTGCAAGAAGTGGGTCAAGCAGCAGTGACAGAAATAATATGGGATATGGGAATAGATGAGGTTCCCACTGGGATGTGGAAGTGCAGTTTGATACATTCAACCGTGTTATCTAATCAGCTATGTTGAAGCAATGTTCTGTGCCATGACGGGGTTGTCTGATTCCGTGTTTCCCAACCTTAACTGAGCCGAGGCACCCATGTTATACCTGCATGCCACCATACAAAAGTGTCACCAAAAAGTATCGAGATTGACATCATGATGCATTCGGTATACTTACACAAGTACTTGGTGTCAATTTGGGCCTGTTTAAAAATCAAATACATCCATCAAAAAAAAACACCCAGTGCAATGTGTGCCAGCATGTTGCGTATAAACCCTATTAAAGGAAATGTGATGATTAAGGCAAGAGATCCGATGGGTCAGGGCTGGACGTACGCATCATAGAACCACTAAACTACTGTACTGTACTTTATAGTGATTGCAATTTTGCATTTCAATGTGGCCCTAATACGTCATAATTTTCGCCACTTTTTTTTTCGCCTGAGTTAGGCCACAAAATTTTGATGTACGGTACTATATTCTGAGTAATGAAAAGGTGATGGTGTTTAATGAAAAAAATCGACTTTGCAAAAATCAAATTAGCCGGTGAACCCCAGTAAAAATGAGCGACTGCATCATGTGTCTGAAGCAGAAATTTAAAAACGTCCAAAACTATAGACAATCACTACAGATTTGACTCATTCCTTCCTGAAACAGAATCTCGTGATATCCCCGATTATGCACGCCATTACATACGTGTCAATGACGTTTCTTCTTTCCTGTAAAAATAACATTTGCACAGATATTAATATTGAAATATAAGCAGATGATTACATAATATTTACATAGATGAAAAACGCTGAAGGAACACCGAAAATGTTCAAATTCAGGCCTGACTGGATTACAGATGGAAGTTTGCCTGTGGCTTCAATATGCACTGTCCCTTTAAAAAAAATAATAAATATAAAAATAAATTCAGCATTTATCTAATTTAAAGGTCAAGCGTGAAGTAATTTTAGAAAATCCCAAACAAAATATATTTAGGTCACAAAGTAATTAAACAAAAGGCATTTAATAAAGCATAAAAAATCTATTTCGTAAATTTGACAAAGTAATCGTTTTCCCAAAGTGAGATCCAAACCAGCGACAAACCCAGAAGTGTGACATCACATCAAGACAACAATAGCCCGGCTCACTGTGGAAAGTGTTCAAAGTGAGTCAAAAATCGATTCGGGAAGCGGAAAGTTTGAAATTTATCTGAAAGGATCCAGATGTTTGAAGAGTCGGAGGAAGATGAGGTGATTGGCAAAATGTATGTTGGACCATTCATACATGTATGAGCCAGATACTCAGGATGCGGAAAATGTGCAGTGCAGGGGCGTCACTAGGTTTCAAGAACAAGGGGGGCTTAGCCCCAAGGGGAACACAGCCCCTTTAGGGGGGTCCGGGGGCATGCCCCCCCGGGAGAATTTTTTTCTACATTCTGTTAAAAATCCATCAATTCCGTGCACTTTGAGAGCAAAATGAAGAGGCTAAGAAGAACTACATACATCACATTAGTATCGTCTTTACTATGATGGGGCTTCCTCCCCTGGACTTTAACTGGACTAGATAATAGAAATTATAAAGAGTTCAAAAGTTCAATCTTGGTTGTTCAAGGGAATTAGAAGGATGCCCGATAACATAACCTATATGACAGTAGGCCTATATTCCTCTCTACCAAAATGTATTAATATATGCCTAGCCCCCAGAAGACTATGTATTTTGAGATGTCTGCCGTGATATGCAATTTAAGTTAGTACAATGAGATGCAAAAGCTTCATCACTTTGGAAAAACACAAGTTTGCTGCTCAATACTGACTGTAAGCTCCGATTGCATTTTGGCAACAGCCTTGCAAGTAAAATTAGCCTTGAGATCTGATAGACTCACCTGTCCAGCAGAGCCCCCCTTAATTTATCCAAAAGTGAACACTTGTTACAGTGCAGTTTCTGCTGTTACTGGAGATATTTCAGCGGACTATAGTCACTACTAGTTTTACCAGCATGGATGCATTGAATACTTAATTTACCTTTCTAAAAAACTGTCGAATATCCATGCTGTCGACTTAACCTGACTTTCGGCAATGAACTGTCAGTTGTTGCGTTAGCATTTGATGTGGCGATGGTGACAGACACTTCAAATGCTAACGCAACACCTGTTGCGTTCAGGAAACCTGGGAGATTTAACATCACAATAAGGGCAGGTTATCGAAATATAATTTAAAATGGCCACATTACATTGAATTTGATGCAATATATTAGCAAAAGTACAGGAAAAATAAATAATACTTTTTTTTAAATAATGCAATGAAATTATTTAGGGGGGCTAAAGACATTTTTAGGGAGGCTGAAGCCTCCCTAAAATAGGCCTAATGACGCCCATGGTGCAGTGTATTGTTTGCATTTCGATACTGTGTCGTGCTGTAAATTGCGCACGATGGGATTATTTACTTAGCCCATGCATTTCCGCTAGCACTGAGGCACCCATTATAGTGGGTTGGTGTCCTACATTGTCATTGCTAAGGTAGTTCTGTTGCGTTGTTGGCTGCTCCGCACATTGTATCGGGAGCGTTGTTAATTGCCAACCATTTCAGAGGATTCCATCCATGGACTTAAATAGTTTGAATGTTTTCGGACAAGATTCCATCCCTGTACACGGACTTGGAATCAAATTTTTTCATGAACAACAACCAGAGTTATTCATTGGTTATCACATCAGCTTTTTGCACATCAGGTTGAGAGATAACGGAGGTCTTCTTAGCGCTTGTGACAAAGAATGCTCGTCGACACTGCCGTGAAATTCATTTGCTTTGCGAGAGTGAGACTATCGTTCCAATTTTGCAGTCCAGTTCCAATTTTGCAATCCATTCACATGCCACATTCTTTTCTTTTGGTCACTCAAACAACTGTTTGCCTGAATGTGAACATCTGCGCATTTTGCCGAATAACTCGATAACAATTGCAAAGATCAGTTAACGGGAAAATCAACAATGCATTACAATGGCTGACTGGCGACTCGGCATTCTGTAAGTGACGTCACTCGCTGAAGATTGCCGAACAAAAGCATTTTCGTTGTTAAGCGGGTTGCTATGGGTCTAACTATGCACCTGGGTGGGTTGTGTTAAAAAAAAAACTAAAGTATGCTTGAAATAGTTTTAGCCCGAAATATTACTCAAAAGAGCCTTGGCCAAGTTTACTTCACTTGACCTCTAAAGGTCATTTAACCTCCATTAGGGTAACTGAGGACAATGATCCAGTCGAATTCCTGTGCAGGTCATCTTTGTAATCATCATCTGTGGGTGAAATGTATTTTTCCCCCCTGTCTACTCTTTTCATCCCCTGCAGTTCTGAGTGAAGGAGTTAGTCTGTGCATCAATCTGTCTGGTCTTCCTCCAAAAGGATCAAAGGAAGAAAAAGTGCTGATGTCGAGTGTTCACCGATCTTTCAAACTGTGCCCCAGAAAGGCGTAAAAAAACGCTCTGTTGAAATGTGATCACTTTTTTTTTTTTTTGGTCAATGCATTGCTAAGCGAACAAATTCACAGGAACTCAACCGAATGATGAGTCTACATGACTTTTATTCTACACTGTGCCGATTAAATACTGACAAAAAAATAATAATAATGTCAGCACCGGGCATGCGTACACATCTTGACACTATTTTCTGATATTGTTCCACCAAATCCATTAATAGTCAACAAGTGCCAAGCAACACAAACCTCTCCTTTCTGTATCCACAACTTGTCGCCTCATAATCCAACCATTTGTCCCCAAAATGAGGTGCCATTTCAATTGTACAAAGTACAACCAAAATGATCAGTGCTGTGAATCAACACAAGCTCGAACACCTGCCCACAAACACACTGCTTCACTGTGTTCAGCGCATCCTGTAAACATGGAAGAAAAACTTCATATTGCGCCATGCACACAATATACTGCCATCATTTCAAAGCATAACGAGTGCTTTTTGTTACCCGTTTCATGAGTTGAAAATGAACAAAGCTTTACGATGCTGCTATGATTTACAACCGTGTTGTAGTGAACCAGGCCATCTATTTTTGTGGAAATAAGTGGCCGTGTCATCGTAATTTTCGCAGATTTTGAAATGTGCAAAAACAACAATCGTTTATGCTTGCTTGTTTTTAAGTCTGATTATCTGGATGTAGTCTGCTGTAGCCAGAGAATTTTAATTTGATTAAGTTACCAGTGTGTCAACATGCTGCTTAAGGCTCTGCATGGACATTAAGCATTGAAATCAACATGATAATAAAATGAATGAAAACCGCACGTAGCATCTGCTAATTTGGGTCCAGCGCCAGACAAACAAGTGATCGCCAGCGCAGTCTTGGAAATAGCAGTCTGGGCCAATCAAACACTTAAGGACTTTGAGGTCAAGACTTCCTTGGGTTTACCTGCTTAACACCTGTGATTTTTAACCTCTGACCCCTTGACCGATTTAACCGGATAAATGAACAACCAACATCAGACTTTGCTGGCAGCAGCTCATTGGAACATAGCAATGTGACCAAAAGGCCATTCAAGGAGATATCATGTTCAGTCCCCTCCAAAAGTATTGGAACGGCAAGGTCAATTCCTTTGTTTTTGTTATATGCAAAAGCCATTTGGATTTCAGATGAAAAGATGAATATCAGATAAAAGTTAAGAAATCCAGCTTGTATTTTATGTTATTTACGTCTACGTGTGTGAACCAACTCAAGACAGCACACCTTCTATTTCAGTCACTTTTCAAGTGAGGAAAGGTATTACAGTACATTTCATTATTAAATGAACTGCATTTAACATGTAATATTTGGTGGCGTAACCCTTTTTTGCAAAAACTGGATCAAGATTGCGAGCTGTGAACTTTGCTAAACTGGTGCATGCTTCAAATGCATTTTTCTGTCCATTGCCAGACAAAGGGCTTTAGTAGACTTCAGGAATCATTCTGCTGCATCCATCATGTGCAAAAGTGGTCTGTACTGAGTTGTTGAAAATATCTAGATGTACCGGTAAATACCATGAAAGAAAAACTGGAATTCTGAACTTTTGTCTCATATTCATCTTTCCATCTGATATACCCATACAATCAAAACAAAGAAATTGACCTTGCCGTTTTCATTCTTTTGGAGAGGACTCTACTTGTCGTGACACTTTATATTATGGCATGATAATAGACTGCTTAAAAATGTATCATCTTTGTAGATTTTTTTTTTCTCTTGAGTCAATGAATTGACATGTCAAATTTATGGAAATCTGTTGTTCAACCTAGCTGTTAATTTTGGGTTCACTGAATCCAAGTCATGCTTGTCATTATTTGTATAGTGTACTCCATTTAGTTTGCTTAAAACAGTGCAGACATTTGAGGCATTTAAAGTATATATCGGAGAATCACGACTGATTTCTCAGGGAGCACACATCAGCACTGTTCAATTTAGTCCGTGATCAGGGTTTAATCATATCACGTTTTTGATAACATAACGACTGCCGTGCTTGTCTTCTGTGTGGTCTTGCAAAAAGCAAGGTCATGTCACAGCACTCCTAGGAGCAAATTAATAAATTCACATTGATAAGATACAGACATTACAAGAGCTGATCCAGAGAGCAGCTAGAGTAAATATTTCATCCCGGCCTTACTAATTTATCTAATTGCTGTGATCTTGTGATTTGGACCAAAACATACCAAAGATGCGCTCGCAAATCAATTAGTGCTTATTGTGTGCCCACTTCCTGCCTGGGCATCAGAGTTGCTTCAGTGCAGCCAGCCTCAGTTACTGCTTGTTTATGATTCTTGCTGCCGTCATGTTTGTCTTCAACAAGTGAAACGATTCAACACGCAAGTGCCACAATATATGATGCATGATGTGATATGCTTTGGAGCATGAATTGTTTCCTCACAATATTTTTGTGCTTCCATCATTCCGACACAAGTTGGCCTTGATTTCAGCTGTCTACAGGCCTAATGTAGAGCTCACTGTGCTTTCTTTTTTCTCTTTTTACTCCTTTTCTTTTCTTTTTTTTTTAACACCGTGGCAAACATTTTCTTAACTCTCTGATATCCGTTTTTTTTTTTTTTTTTAATTCGGCCCCCCTGCTTGCATTTATGTCTCCATTTGACTTTGACTTTATATTGGTAGCTTCAGTCAGACTACTGCCAAAAGTTCAATACCTGATATCCACTCCTGAGTTGTATTGAGATTTTAAATAAATTATGTCTGCTCTGGGCACAGTGGATGACTGGTTGGCACCCCTGCCCCACAGACAGTACATAGGTCTAAGGTTCGACTCAGGGCTCCGGCCTTGCTGTGTGGAGTTCTCTCCGTGCAAGCGTGGGTTTAGTCCGGGTACGCGGTTTCCTCCCACATTCTACACACATGCATGGTATGTTAATGGGACACTCTAAATTGTTCCCAGGTGTGATTGTTAGCTCGAATGGTTGTTTGTCACAGGTGTCAAAGTCAAGGCCCGGGGGCCAGATCCGTCCCACCAGCTCATTTCATGTGGCCCGCGAAAGCAAATCAAACATGGCAACTTCCATGTTGCTTGCTAAAATATGTACCAAAATTTCAAATTCTCAGATGTACAGTAATAAATAAGAGAGACACTGTAAGCATTTTCTTGTTGCCAAACAATTCATTACAATAACTAAAAAAAGTTGAATAAATTGTTATTCTTGACTTCTTTATATGATTTCAGTCATAATGGCCCTCCAAGGGAAATGGTAACTAAAATGTGGCCCGGGACGAAAATGGGTTTGACACCTCTGGTCAATGTGTACTGTTGGGGGAAGAGCGGCCTCCTCTTGCCCGCGTGTTTGTTGAATTTCGGACGAGGAGAATGTTGGTTCTTCAAATAAAGGTGGAGTCGATGAACGGTTCCTTCGAAGCTTTTAATAACAGAATATTCCGGGCACCCGCGAATTACAGACAAAGGCTGCGCGTCACGAGTGCGAAGCAGGAAGAGATTCACATCATTTTTATACCATCAGAAGGGTGGTACTGAGACACAAAGTGTGTGATATCATAACTTTCGTTTTCTCCTCAACCGATTCTCAGCTTGTATCAACTAGCCCATTCCAATGTTTGTGCATCGTCAGCAGGGAGTATTCCAATTCCAGGTGATGGTTGTTACAAAGACGGAAAGCTACCCTGCAGGCATGGGAAAGTTATACAGCATGACCAAATATGTGCAGAGAACAAACTAAATATGAGCAGAATACATACTTCAGGACCTTGCGATTGGCTGGCAACCAGTTCAGTGTTTACCCCACTACTGCCCGAAGACAGCTGACATAGGGTCCAGCACGCCGCGACCCTTTGAGGATAAGCGGATCAGATAATGGATGGATGGATGCATGGGTTGGAGCACAGACTGTCGTTGTCATGTGACAGGTGCACACTATTGACAGCTTGCTATCTGAGTCATTGTGTGACCTCTCTTAATCTCATCACACTGGTCAAGAACCTTTACAGTTACGTGAGAATGAGCGCTTGAAACCCTGCTGTCAATCAGAGCTAGCAGCAGGCTCCAGTGTGCCAGTAAATCAGCGAATCGCCCGGATTAACACACAAAGAGCAAATTGTCTTACATTTATTTAACCATGATTGCAGTCATGTCAGAATGCTGGATCATCAGCTCGATGAGTTTTCCAACAATTTAAGTACAATTGTGGTGAAATGATTCCCTCTAAATGACATAATACTGTACTTATAATAACCATCAGTATGATAAGAAAATTATTACATGTGATCAATGGGATAGCTGGTCAATTTCCTCTCAAAACTAAATTTACAGTGCATTTGGGTGTCATCCTTGCCCCATGTCTCAGATGAGGGCCATTTCATGTCCTACTGTATCAAAAATGATACCTTTACAATGGTGTTCAGTTTGAGCTGAAACTGTAATGGCGTTATTATGTTATGTTCGAGAGGAAGTGTACCAAATAAAGGAGGTAAAGTCAAACCCCTGCATTTTCCTTCACTCGTGCACATTAAAACCACAATAATATACATATTAAATTACTACAATGAGAGTTATTCTACAAATAGGAGGCACCGTGGATTGATTTATGGGGGTTACCCTGTATGCTTGATACTCGGGCTACCTCTTGCGCTTTGCATCCAATGATGTTGTGCTGGTGTGCCAAATGTTAAAAAGAAGAAAAACATACAAAATGAATTTTCCTGCCCAGGCAAGAAAGTGATAACGCGCAAACTTTGAGAAAGTCAGAACAAAACACGATTTAGTCAGAGGCACAGTCTGCTACAAGAAAAAAAAAGAGTTAATTCTTAAACTGATTGGTAACGGTGTTGTCTTCTTCCACCACCACGTTGATGGAGGGGGGGGGGGGGGGACAAGTCCAAACCGGTTCTTACGTGGATGATAGGCCGGTTTCAGCTGGCTCCGTTGCCGTAGCAACGAGCTCCTTATAAATGCAAGACGGGACATCCGCTGCTTCCACTTCAGTTGGAGCTAAGTGGGGGACGCCTGCTAGCTGTGGCTCAATTGTCTGAAAGAAAACAGTTTTTACACCCCAGCGCTTGTGTCTAATGGACAAACTCTCTTTGTAAATGCTTTTTAAGGTAAGTCATCGATTTTGTTTGTGTGTGCGTGTTTTTTGTCTTTTCTTTCCGGGCCTTGTTTTATAGAGAAATTTTAGCTAGCCGAACTCGTGAGAATGGCCTCAACAGCCCTCGTGTTATAGTGGGGTTTTTTTTTACGTTGTGTTTAATGTTGACAACCAGTTTTATTATAAAACAGTTTGGAACTTGAGGATTGATTTCTCCGCAATTTAAGTTTTAAGTTAGTGGTTTCATGTATCTAGTTAGCCGTCTTGTGGACGCACATTGGGAATTAGCCGCCTGGCGTTAACTGATGAGAATGACTTGTCTTAATTTTTTTATATACATTTCATAAAACGTGCTACACGAGTCACGCCTAAGATCAACTCTCGTGTTCAGTCGACTGTAGCCTCCTGGCATGGAAAACGGAACCGGCAAACTGACGTTTATGTAATTCGTTCACTTTCCATTTGTCGGTTTTGATGTCGTTCATAAAAGACGAAAGATTCTCTTCTTCTGGATTGGAGGGAATCGTTCCTGGGCGGGGCTTTCTTTTCAGTGGGTTTTTCTCTGTATTTATTTATTTATTTGTCTTTTGGTGTCAAATTCTACTGACGCAATAGACATTTTTTAATGCGACCTTGCGCAACTTAATTTGACGCAATATACATTTTTTTTAATGCGACCTTGTGCAATTTAAGTATTTGTTAGCCATATTAGGATAATGAATATTTTGTATAACATATGCTCAGACAGTGCATTGAAAGCTGTACGTTTACTAAGACTAAGTTTGTCCCTATAAGAAAATTATGCACCAATTGTAATGTTCTTGCTTCACTTATTAGAATCATCACTCCAGGAGAACACACACTGTCTGCTCAACAGGCCCTGGCCTTGAGGCTTATTTAAAGGGGTTTAACTTCACTGGTGAGCCACCTTGGATCTCCTGCACCTGAGCAACTGACATAAAAATTCCATCTCGTAAGTACCACACTTGTATGCTTTTTTTTTTTTTTTTTTGTTACAGCACGGTGCTCAACATTGACTATCTATTTTTGCAACCCTCTCTTGTAGTTTTTGAGTGACCATTTAAAGAACTTTTTGCGACCATGAATACTGCCGAGTTTGATTTCTCTTTCCTTGAGGAGGGCTTTTCTGCCAAGGATATTGTAGAGCAGAAGATTAATGAGTCATCCATGACGGTAAGATCCTGGCGTGGCAACATTTACCTAATTTTGCTATGCTTCTGTTATGATGGATCTATGTCAAACCATTGTACTCCTTCTTGCAGGATGACAGGGATGCCTTCTATGTGTGTGACCTGGGGGACGTTTTGAAGAAGCACTTGCGCTGGGCAAGGGCCCTTCCTCGTGTCTCTCCTTTCTATGCAGTCAAGTGCAACGACAGCCGGGCTGTTTTGATGACACTGGCCTCATTGGGAACTGGTTTTGACTGTGCAAGCAAGGTGACTATTGGAAACGTGTGGAGGTCTTATGAGCACAATTGAAAGCTAATGGCTGCGTTTACGTGTTTCTCCTCCAGACTGAGATCCAGCTTGTTCAGTCTCTGGGAGTGGATCCAAGCAGAATCATATATGCAAACCCATGCAAGCAGGTTTCTCAGATAAAGTATGCTTCTGCCCACGGGGTCCAGATGATGACCTTTGACAGTGAAATGGAGCTAATGAAAGTGGCTCGCTGTCATAACAATGCCAAGTATGGGTTTTCGTAAACAGTCGCACTATAAAAGCTTTTGTGTAATGTGCTCTACCAGTCCTTTCTGAATTCCTTATGCTTTGTTTTTCCAGGCTGGTGCTGCGTATTGCCACAGATGACTCCAAGGCCGTTTGCCGCCTGAGCATCAAATTTGGAGCCCAACTTAAAGCTTGTCGAGGCCTTCTGGAGAAGGCCAAGGAATTGGGGCTGGACGTGATCGGCGTCAGCTTCCATGTTGGCAGTGGCTGCACTGACTCAGCGGCCTTCAAGCAGGCTATTGCAGATGCCCGCTGTGTCTTTGATATGGGGGTGAGTGAAAAATCTGGAATGCACTCACTACATATACCCACAGAAATGAGATAAAAGTGCAGTTGTGGCAGTTGAAGGAAAAATGCTTGGCTCATACTGGCAAATGTCAACCCTTGCCTTTATTTTGCCATGTGGGAGGGGCCTTTCAGTTGCAGTGCAGGTAGACCTGGTACAAACAAGTTAAATGAATACCTCTCTAATGTTGTAAACCATGAGCTTTTCAAAAGCCAGAAGTGTTTGTCTTCATGTGGTTTTGTTGATTCAATTCATTGTGCCCATTGTTTTTTTTTTTTTTTTTTTTTTTTTTTTTTTTTTTTTTTTTTTAAATTAATAAAAAATACTTCTTATTAGCTTGATCTAGGCTTCTGCATGAACCTTTTGGACATCGGAGGAGGTTTTCCTGGTTCAGAAGATGCAGACATCAAATTTGAAGAGGTATGTTTTTTACTTTGTACAAGTTTATATTCAGAGCCTGATTTTCATATTTTCTCCATTTACCTCTATGTAGATCACTGCAGTAATCAACCCAGCCTTGGATAAATATTTCCCTGTTGACAGTGGTGTGAGGATCATTGCTGAACCCGGTCGATTTTATGTGGCCTCTGCTTACACTCTGGTTGTTAACATTATCGCCAAAAAGGTCCTTATAGATGACGATTCGGCCTCTGACGGTAAGGGCAGTTTAGTTTTTATAAATGTAATGCTAGTTGTGACTCCGTGGTGAAATTAAGGGTGTTTCTCCCCCCCATCACAGAGGAAGATGAAGGGATCATTGACAGGAGCCTCATGTATTATGTGAATGATGGAGTGTATGGGTCCTTCAACTGTATTCTGTATGACCACGCACATTGTCTGCCAACTTTACACAAGGTAAGTTGAAAACAAACAGGACTACGAACAACAAGAAAATGATGCGTTCATGTTTTTTAAACTGTTAGTCTGCTCTGCTTCCATAGAAGCCCAAGCCAGATGAGGCCATGTATCGCTGCAGTATCTGGGGCCCAACATGCGATGGCCTTGATCGTATAGTGGAACAGTGTAACCTGCCGGACATGCATGTGGGTGACTGGCTGCTCTTCGAGAACATGGGTGCCTACACTGTGGCCGCCTCTTCCACATTCAATGGATTCCAGAAGCCCGATATTCACAACGTCATTTCGCGGCCAGCCTGGTTGGTAAACGTCATACAAGCATTTTGTTCCGGGCTTGTTGTGCAGATGCTAATTTCAATTTTGGTCACTTTTGGTTTTAGGCAACATGTGCAGCAGATCTGCGCCCAGGGACTGCCGGTCCCCGCAGAGTCCTGCATGCTGGATGTTCCAGCCTGCTGCGGAAGAGAGAGGAATTTGGAGATTCCCTCAAAGTCTCCTCAGGCCCATGTGGTTTAAAGGGCACAGTCATTCACGACAATAAAAACACACATCATTCGCCTTTCATTACAGATGCAGCTTTTTTAATTATTTTTGTGAAAAATCTTGGCCAGTTACTTGGAAAAGAAAAATGGTATTTTGCATGCATTTCTGTATTCTATTTAGAAGCTAATAATTTTCAGTTAGATGGTGGCTTGATGGTACCATTCAAGAAAGGCTGCTATAATTTTTTTTTGTTGGTTTTTAATTGTCTCCATTTCACAGAACCCTTTTCTTTTACCACATATACAAGGAACTTTGTATGGCCTGGCTAGTCATTAAGTAATCTGTCATTACGAAAGCTAAATAGTCATCACTTACTAGGAGAACGTGTTTCCATCAAACTCCATGCTGCAACTATTTGTTTTCATTCCTTATGTGGTTTAGATCATGTTTTGCGGTAGGTGGTACCCTGTTAAAAACAAATCTTAATAGCCATTTATCCACATGGCCTCAAGACATTACTGCCTCTTTCCTCTCATTTAACTTAATTTTGTGGTTGTATTCTCAAAAGCAGAACGTGTGTTGTGAAAGAGATGGGATGCTTTCCTATGGAAACGTTTGCAAGTTTTGTATTTTTTTTTCCAAAATAAAGTGGTGTGAAACTGAATGATTTAGAAATGTTCTACCTTTGACCATTTGAAGACTCTGCTTGATTATAACTAGTCAGCCATTTGCACAATGGTTTAATAGCTCCATCTCGTGGTGGAGGAGGGACTAATGTTCCAATCAACCAAGAAGGCAGAAGCCTGTTTGATGCTAACACCCACCCAGCCACTTTCAACACCGATTATCCTGAACAGGGTCGCGGGGGAGTAGCTGGAGCCTATCCCAGCTGACTTCTGGTGAACTACGACCTGAACTGGTCGCCAGTCAGTCGCAGGGCACATAACAAACAACCATTCACACCATCGCTGCGTGGGAACCGATCCCATGCTGCCTGCACACAAGTCAGTCAACTACTCCATCAGCAACTAACAAGTCATTGATTTTGAGTATTACATGTTGATAAAATGACACTGCATACACTGCAATAATCCTTGAATAGCTGCTTCTTTTCCCTTCAGGGGTCGCCACACCAAATCCGTTGCCTCCATCTAACCCTGTTTTATGCATCCTCTTCTCTCACACCAGCTACCTTCATGTCCTCTTTCACTACATCCGTAAACCTCCTCTCTGGTCTTCCTCTCGGCCTCCTGCCTGGCAGTTCAAGACTCTGCATCCTTCTCCCAATATATTCACCCTCTCTCCTCTGGACATGTTCAAACCTTCTCAATCTGGCCTCTCTGACTTTCTCTCCAAAACCTCTAACATGAGTTGTCCCTCTTATGTACTCATTCCTGATCCTATCCAACTGGACACTCCCAAAGAGAACCCCAACAGCTTCATCTCTGCTACCTCCAGCTCTGCCTCCTGTCTTTTCTTCAGTGGCACTGTCTCCACTCCAACCAGCATGGCTCGCCTCACCGCAGTTTGATACACCCTTCCTTTCATCTTCGCTGAAACTCTTCTATCGCACATCACCCCTGACACTTTTCTCCAACAGTTCCAGCCTGCCTGTACACGCTCCTTCACCTCTTCTCCACACTCTCCATTGCTCTGGACAGTTGACCCCAAGTACTCCACCTTCTTTATCTCTTCTCCCTGTAACCTCACTCTTGTACTTGGGTCCCTCTCATTCACACATATGTACTCCGTCTTGCTTCGTCTGACCTTCGTTCCTCTCCTTTGCAGGGCAAACCTCCACCTCTCTAGTTTCTCCTCCACCTGTTCTCACTACAGATGACAATGTCATCTGCAAACAGCATAGTTTATGGAGATTCCTGTCTAACCTCGTCTGTCAGCCTGTCCATCAACATAGCAAATAAGAAGGGGCTCAGAGCTGACCCCTGGTGAAGTCCCACCTCCACCTTGAATTCCTCCGTCACACCCACAGCACACCTCACCACTGTCTTACAGTCATCATACATGTCCCACACCGCTCTAACATACTTCTCTGTCACCCCAGACTTCCTCATACAATACCATATTTCTTCTCTGGGCACCCTGTCATACTCTTTCTCCAGATCTACAAAGACACAATGCAGTTCTCTTTGTACTTCCCTGTCAACATCCTGAAAGCAAATACTGCATCTGCCATACTTTTTTTTTGGGGGGGGGGGGGCATGAAACCATACTGCTGCTCACAAATGCTTCTGCTCTTAGTCTAGCTTCAACTACTCTTTCCCAGAGTTTCATTGCATGGCTCAACTTTATTCCTCTGCAGTTACTACAACTCTGCACATCTCCCTTGTTTTTAAAAATGTGCACCAGCACACTTCTCCTCCATTCCTCAGGCATCTACTCACCATCTAAGATCTTGTTGAACAACCCAGTCAGAAATGCCACTGCCACCTCTCCTCCACACTTCCATACCTCCTTACTCCTGGAGGAAATCGTCAGGCTCGAGTGCCTTTCCACTCTTCATCCTCTTCAGTGTCCTCCTCATGTCATACTTGCTAATCTTTGCTACTTCCTGGTCCGCAACAGTCACATCTTCTACTCTTTGTTCTTTCTGATTTTCCTCATTCATCAACTCTTCAAAGTACTCTTTCCATCTTCCCATCACACAACTGACACCTGTCAATACATTTCCATCTCTATCCTTAATCACCCTAACCTGCTGCACGCCCTTACCATCTCTGCCTCTCTGTCTTGCCAATCAGTCCATCTTGCTGTCCAGCCTAGCATACAAGTCATCGTAGGCCTATTGTTTGGCCTTCGCCACCTCTACTTTCACCGTGCGCTGCATCTCCCTGTACTCCCTGTCTACGCTCTTCAGTCCTCTCAGTGTCCTACTTCTTCTTAGCTAACCTCTTTCTCTGTATACACTCCTGCACCTCCTCATTCCACCACCAAGTCTCCTTATCTACTTTCCTTCCAGATAATACAGTCCTTGAATATGCTATATGCTTCTTTCCAAAAACTACTGACATTGAAATTAGGTTCCTAAGGATACAGTTTGAAAGATGCTTCTGTTTTGATGAATTGTTGTTGCAGAGTGTCAGGCTGTTGCTCATTATGGCGTGGTGTGTATGTGTGTGCGCGTATGCGGTAACGGGTCGATCGCGGGAGGTTGGTTGGTTGAAAAGTCGCTTTTCGGTCCAAATAGTTTGGGCACCCCTGCTCTTGGTCTTGCAATGAATGGAATTTAGCTCAACTCATTGGTGGACATCTTGCGATATTTCTCGGGCCGTTCTCTCTTCAGCTTCACACCTGTTAAAGTTCCGGAACAGGAGCGAATCCCACAAACGCAAACCAAGAGAAGAACGAATACAAAAAAATGTTTATTTACCAAAACAGGTCACAAGACCGACAACATGTCAACATAGAACGCTGGTAACAAAATAATCAGGATAAGAACGAGTCGAACCAAAAGCGCTTCCAAACGGTAAAGGACAAACGGTATTCTGTACTTAAGACTCTTCCGCTTCTGGTAAAATCACATCCCCGACCTTCCCATGAAAAAGATATGTTGTTACCTTAAGTGTCCAGTAGAGGTCAGCATGGAATCATTTTAAATTACAGCAATGAAAACCATACATATACAAAAATAAGGTTTCAGCGACCATCAAATAAATACGTAGATCACCGTGTGATTTTTTCCCCCCTCTTAGTCCAGATGTGTTAAAAAATACAACACGATGATACCTGTCCCCTCAATGCCATGCAGGGCTTTGGGTTCTTTTAAAATAAATTACTTTTATTATATTTACACATTTCAATGTTTCGACACTAGTAACTTGAGTCCTTTGGCATTTAAATCATCAACAACAATTTTGACATTAAATCATCCTATTAATGATTTGAAATATGTTCACAATTTCAAGATTAATTCACATTTAACATTCCCAGAGTGATAAATTGACTTTTTTTGACATTCTGAGAGTACCAGTTGCACAAACTTTTATTCTTGCAAACAGAGGCACTTTTTCATTGTTTTCTAGTTTAAAAAAAAAACAAAAAGGTGGAATATCAATATGTCCTTACACATATTCACATTTTGTTGATTAATTCATCCTTTTATGTCTTTAATGACTCTTGAGACATTGTGCTATGCTAATCCTGGAATCTTAATTTAAAATTTAGGGGCAATAATAATCCTCCTCACTTACATGTATATTTCCGCATAGTTATAAAGGACGAATTCAAGGAAGACGACTTGTCTTCCTTGAATTCTGTGAGCTGACTAAATTTTGCACCTCCAGCAGTTGGTGCCTGCCCTTCCTCCTCCTCGTCCTGGATTGGGCCTCACATCGTCCACGCCCCATGGACAATATCATATAAAAAGGCTACAATCAACTTTAGTTGGAGAGTGAAGGTTAAGCAGTCGGCAACATGATGTCATTAGTTTGGGGATTGGCCTGTATCGTTGGCATTCTGATCCCGGCAAGTCTGGGATCACAGTTTGGGCCACACCGCCAGCAGAGCCGTTTAGCCGGTCATTCCCTCCCAAAGGTATCACCACAGGTGTCCCCAAGGGTCCATGCCAGCTTTGAGGACGTCAGATCGACTGAACAAGCCTCTGATGAAGCACGAAGCTCTGAAATTTCCCAAGAGGTCCGGAAGACAGGCCAGAGCATTCTGAGTTTGCCTCAGCAGGATGCACGCAACATGTACTTACCACAGGGAGGACGGAACCTCATCTCAGCAAGTACGTTTTAATTTTTCAATGTTTTCCATAGTTGCTGCTTAGTGCGTGTTGCACCAGCGTTGCTTTGAATGATATCGATAGATTTGTTTTGTTGTACAATTTGGCACCACATAGCCTCTAGTACACATTTTTTTCTGTCTAACAATGTGCTGCTTTACATGAATTTTATTTTGCCAGTGATCTTGTACTACATATTTGAACAGTGAGTTGTCTATCAGTTAAGGTTACACATGATAGGAATATTCGCCTCCGATTTTTTAAAAATATTTGATTCATCTGTTATAGATGAATAAAGACGATTTTGGCAGCAGCTGCAGAGCACTTTTTAAACACAACAACAATGACATAAATAGCTTTTCTCTTCCTCCTTTTTGTGATGTACTATACTGTATATAAAATATGCAGTGTTTTATGATGCTCACAAAAAAGTTGACCGCACTGTTCTTTTGCACCATCTCTCTTCATTGCTTGAGTTAAACCAGAGCTGCAGCTCCTCTAACACTCTTTCCTCTATATCCCTTTCCCTCTTTGAAAAGCTGGTGGCACTAATTCCAGGTTTTATCGCTATCAGCCCTCACATCACCAGCCGCTTTCACAGCTGCAACACAAAGCAGCAAAGCATGCTTCTCAGCTGTTTGCTCAACATCCCAATTCTCCTGTATCCACCAGAATTACCACAGGTACTGAAACACACCGGTAAAAGGCACACTTGTAGTTGCTGTTAGACTGTCTGTCCTATTATGCATTGACTTCAGAAGCTTTCTTTTGAGAAATAATGGGTATCTTTGCCAAAAATAATGTGTTGGCTTTGAAGGCTTCTGTCACCGCCTATGACACATTTGCTATCTTGACAGAGCAGCATTTTTATAAAATATTGACAGCACCATTCACATACTGTATAACCGAAATGAAAACTAGCATATGTCAGTCACATAAAATGTGCTTGTCTACTGTATCAGGTGAGGCCTTGTGCCCACTGGCTCTAGTTCGGAACTGACACTGCATTTGAAATGGTGTTGCTCTGTGCCCCGGTTTGATAACTATTTCTTAATTCCTGATACTTTTTCAACATGTCTTTCTTCTTTTTTTTTCCAGTAACCTCATCAACAAACTGCAAGAATCGTCCAATAGATTTGGTTTTCATTGTCGACAGCTCCCGCAGCGTACGTCCTGCTGAGTTTGAAAAGGCCAAGGAGTTCCTGATAAACATGGTGGACACCCTGGAGATCGGCTCAGATGCCACCCGAGTGGGCCTTGTCAATTATGCCAGCACAGTGAAGATTGAGTTTTATTTGAACACCTATTTTGACAAGCAAGCTTTAAAGCAGGCATTGGCCCGTGTTGAGCCTCTCTCTTCCGGCACCATGACGGGCGTAGCCATTAAAGCCGCCATGGAGAAAGCTTTTATTGCAGAGGCAGGGGCTCGCCGCAGCTCCATGAACATTGCCAAAGTAGCCATCATAGTGACTGATGGGAGACCCCAGGACCAGGTAGAAGAGGTATCAGCAGCAGCTCGGGCATCTGGCATCGAAATCTATGCGGTGGGAGTAGACAGAGCAGATCTGATGTCCCTCCGCCTCATGGCCAGCCAGCCTCTCGAAGACCACGTCTTCTACGTGGAGACGTATGGTGTCATAGAGAAGCTCACTGGCAAATTTAGGGAAACCTTATGTGGTAAGGATGATCTGGAGAGTGTGGAGATTCCATTAAGTGGTTTGCGAATAGCACAAACTGGCAGGCAAGACCGTTATGGGATAACATATGAAAATGACAATAGGACAAAGCACGGTACGTCAAATTTATACCTCTTAATAAGCAACTGTGATTATTAATGGGCAGCGCCATATTGTACAGCCCTCCATTTAAAGCTCAATGGTCTTCTTCTTTGTTCATTTAAAAAGGTCAAGGTCAATCCAAGTTTCAGTTTGGATTGTCCTGAAAAAAACTGACACAGGTGGTATTGTACTTAAATGCAGTCAGCATTAAGTATGTACAATGACCCAAGTACTAACCATCCTCAAGAAGAAGACTAAGCTTAGATCACTGGTTGATCTGGCAATTTCGAGAACTTTAAAGTGGTCCAAACCTAATATGATGCTGCCCTTTAGTTTTCACAGTGTGTGCTGCTCTTTGCAAAACTGAGCTGCAGATTTCGCAGCGTGCCATACGCCCTACTCATGTACCTTGATGTGCTCAGCTGCGCAGGAATTAAACGTGGGCTGCTGCATTTTTAATCAGCCTTAGTGGCTAATCCTGCAAGGCCAAATCTGTGTTTACCTAAGGTTTTACTTGAAAACTAATCTTTTTATAAAATACCACAAATCATTGAAGTCTTGTTCCAAATTCCTTGCATTTACTTTTAAACATGAAGTACATTTTTTATTTCGAAAATGGGACGTTAACAGATCCAAGTGTTGAGGGTATGATGATATTTGTTGTGTTTTCTGATTGTTAATGTTCATTAATGTCCGAAATAAGTGATCCATGGTGCCATAGATCCAGTTTTTCCAAACATCCATAATCAACTGAACATCAAGTTCTGCAACAGGTGGACAGAGTTGTTCAGTAATGATTAAAAACAACATTTACAGTATGCATTTACATTTTACTAAACTTAACATTTATGAAATGGAACGTAATGGATGCTTCGACCAGCTCAGCTGCTTCTAAGCAGTGTAAACTTGTATGAGTGCTGCTACGAATTGTGAAATGGGTGGTTGGTGGGGGGTCAAAATGACCGGTTTAATCAACTTAAAATTGGCCAATGTACTCACATAAGAAAAGAGATCAAAATGTCAGAGACCCAAATTCTCATTGCAAAGTGTAGCAGCACTTAAACTTGGTTGCTCATGCAAGGCGTTCAGCTCCCTTTGTGGTAAAAGCATTCGCTTGAAGGGTTTGCATAGTTTTGCATGGCATGCGGGAATGGCGGGGATATGTCAAATGCCTGTGTCAAATTTGACATGAACTATCTGTTGCACGTCTTTTCATTCACGGCGAAGATGGTGATGAAATGACAAAATGCAGCATCATCATTTTGCATGACTAAACAATCATTACTCACAAGTGACTAATTGAAAACAGATACTAATTACACGTTAGTGTGAAATCAAGTAGACTTAAGCAAATCAGATATTTTCTTTCAGGAGTGGATGCATGTGCTCGTGGGCATAACTGCCAGCACATCTGTGTCAACAACGGTAACTCTTACAACTGTCAGTGTTGGGCTGGCTATGTCTTGAATGCAGACAAGAGGACATGTTCACGTAAGACTTTTTGTTTTTTTTCATGCCTTTGCTAAACTGTGCCTTCGTCTTGATTCAAACCGATCACAATGTGACACCATCACTTTTCAGGTCAAGACGCATGCGCCCGGGGACATGACTGTCAACATATTTGTGTTAACAGTGGTGACTCTTACGTCTGCAAATGTGGAATGGGATACGTCCTGAATGCAGACCAGAAAACATGCTCACGTAAGTACTTGGCAGTACATATTCTTTCTTTCGATTTTACACGGGCTATATGCCCGCATATGGTGTCTCATATTTTCTGCTTTCCAGTGACAGTTTCTGGTACGTGCAATATGTGTGGCCGCACCGGGTGGCATCTCTAACCCTTAACCCCAAATAAATGCAACATGAATTGGTTTTCTATCATGACATGCAAATCATTGGCGTTGGGGGAATTTGCCCAATATCTCTTTCCAGGTGCAGATCCGTGTGCTGCTGGACATGAATGTCAGCATATTTGTATTGATAATGGAGACTCTTACATCTGTAAATGTCATCCAGGATATGCATTGAATCAAGACAAAAGATCATGCTCACGTAAGGTTGCCTTCAAGTACATCATTAGTTTTGTTTTGTTTTGTTTTCTCCATCCATCCATCCATTTTCCGATCCGCTTATCCTCACAAGGGTCGAGGGGCGTGCTGGAGCCTATCCCAGCTGTCTTTGGGCAGTAGGCGGGGGACACCCTGAACCGGTTGCCAGCCAATCGGTTGCACACAAAGACGAACAACCATCCACGCTCACACCTCGGGACAATTTTGATTGTTCAATCAGCCTGCCATGCATGTTTTTGGAATGTGGGAGGAAACCGGAGTACCCGGAGAAAACCCACTCAGGCCTGGGGAGAACATACAAACTCCACACAGGGAGGCCGGAGCTGGAATTGAACCCATTGACCTCTGCACTGTGAGGTCGACGCGCTAACCACTGATTTTAAATCCAATGGCAAACTATCTATTTCGCTGTTGGAGTTCAGTGTCAGTGACACTGTTAGATTGTAATATATCTGTTCTGATACATCAACTTTTTTTTCCCCAGATTTAAAATGAATAAATATTCCCCAATGCAATATGGGTTGGAAAGCACAAATTAAATTGACAATTCGCCATTTGTAAATCCTGCGCTAAGTGCTTATTTGTATCCCTCCGTTTACCCGAAAACTGTCACCAAGGTGCACGTTTATGTTGCAGGTTTAGTCACTGATGCATGTGCCAGAGGTAATGACTGTCAGCAAATCTGCGTCAACAATGGAAATTCCTACTACTGCAGATGTCAAGTCGGGTACATACTGAATGTGGATCAGAAAACATGCTCACGTAAGAAACTGTGAACACCGTCACGTTTTCTTTTCACTCATAAAATGAGGATTTTACACTTAAAATGGTTTTCTCAACTGAGCGCTTGAGTTCCTTTAAATGTTGGAGCATCTCATTCCAGGCGCGGATGCTTGTGCTCTTGGACACAACTGCCAGCATACTTGTGTCAACAGCGGAGATTCGTACATTTGCAAGTGTCGTGCGGGATATATTTTGAATGCAGATAAGAGAACGTGCTCACGTAAGAATGTTTTCTTTTTTAACATGCAGTACATACAAAACTTGCACTGATATCAATATCTTGTTAAATTTTGCTACATATTTACCAAGCACAGAATTTGCTAAACCTGCACAAGTGGTGTATCAAAAAATGCCATGACAAATGAAATATACCTACATGACACAATCAAATAATATTAATTTTACAAGATGTTTATGGCTTTTTGTATTTTGCAGTGATGTAGAATGGCAATGCATCATATTGAGAGCTGTTTCGAATATTATGCTTCTGTTTTTAAGACCCGCATCAGGAGATTAATGTTGGACAATTTGACAGTGTTTGTCTTTTTTTTTGCATTTCTGCAGTCATGAAGAAACGCGCAGTTACCTGAAGCCATGACTACAATGTCCAACATCAAGCATACCACTAACGGTCATTTATGGACGATTTATCATTGCTCCATAAATGGTCACGAGAACTTTTTGTGGGGTGACCTCATAAAGGAAGCTCGGTTCAGTTTATCACTGAATGAAATGTACTTTTTTTTTTTTTTTTTTTACATATGTGATGAACTAGGTCTTTAAATTATCTTCACTCGTTGTTATTAACACGTAGTAGCCATTCACACTTGACCACGGTGTAGATCTTGGTGTGCAAAATGGACGTTTCCTAATCTAATGGATGACGATTTATGATTGTGACTTGCCAATTCAATCAATATGATTTTTAACACATGGAACAATTGTTGATTACTCTTGATTTGTCAGCTCCATATCGTTTGCACGGTCTTAAAAAGGACTGGGCTGTGTCATATGGGGTCCGTCTCACGCAGCTGCAAAAAGGTATTCCAAGACAACACAGCTTTGACCGCTCATATTTTTCTTCTTCTTACAGAGGAAACGAGAAGAGAAATAACGCAAGATGCCTGCAAGTGTGAAGCTCAGATACTGTTCCAGAAAAAAATGCAGTCAACCATTCAAGACTTGAGCAGAAGACATATCCTTTCCCCCTCTTATGACTACAGCTGCATTCTAAATCCAAATTTTGAATTTGATTGAGTCATCACTTAGTTTTAACAATGTTCTGCACTGATCAAACAGGAGCACTTTCCCTGGACAGTTGCTCTTGGTACTACTTTCTTAACTGTGAATCCACTCGATGACCTTTCAGACCGAGTGAACCAGATTGAAGACCAGCAGCAGTATTAGGGACAGTGATGATGTCACAAGACCAGCACAGAATTTGTATATTTTATCATTTTGGAACTTTCCCATGGAATTATTTTAAGTAATGAAAAAAAAAAAAGATGTCGGACACTAATAGCACTTTGGTTTTATATTAAAACCCCTATATTTTCATTCCAAACATGTGTATGTATGTATGTAATCATTCATTCATTGTACTGTATTCATTGCTTTCTATGCATGTATTTTCTCAGAGGTCCGGATCAATGAACATCAAACTGTTATTCTTTTAGCAACAAGATGATAGTTCTAATCCAGTGGATTACAGCAATACTGTGCAGAGAAAAGATCATTGTAAAGTCGGATGCAGTTGGCCTGCCTGTGGCTCAGTTACATAATACTTTAATGGTGCACTTCTTGTATCAGTTCGTAACTTTTTCATTAATTTCAGTCAAGACTTTTGTTTTATTTGTGGTTGGTGTTGTTGTAAAACACAACAAAGGTCAAACATTTATTGACAATCAAATCTGTTCAATTGTCCATGTGACCTATTCAAAGTGTGCTCACTTGTAAGTACTGTATTTTCTGCTTCTCTCACATCCAATGGTTTGGTTGTGAACATGATAGCATTTTGTACTAATTCTGTGTAAACTGATGCCTTATATAAGAAATATTTTAATTACTGTTTCTTTTATAATGGACATGTTATTGGTGCTTGCTGAATAAATATTCTGAAATCATTTATTAAACAGATTTATTGTGCGTCTTTGACATTTTATCAATCCAGCATACATTTCAGAGCAATTCATTCAGTAAGCAATCCAGCAGAAATACAGTACCGTAATTAATTTAAGAACACTACTTATGCGGAAATAATATGAGTGTATGTGTTATTAAATGTATTAGAGCGTTTCTCTGCAAAATTTCAGACTGTCCACTTCTCCCCCCAAAAAACAACAAACAGCGTCATCTCGACAATCTTTGAAACTCGGGATCTGAATCATCCGTCCGTTACCCGAACCACTTATTTCATTAGTTCTCAAAAAAAATCTAAAATTGCCCATTTGCCCCTTCCAATTGTTGTGTATTAACTTGTTGACTTCCACGTAAATACAAAAACACATAGCTCTATTTTATTCAGATTTTTTTCTCTATGGCGAAAAATTACAGCTTCCAGCAACGTTCAAAATAAGAACTACAAGTACCAGAAATCCACCGCAGAGTGTACTGTTGCTACGGGCGACTGTGAGAGACTACGTGCGCCATGCTACATGTTGCGTAAAACGCCAAAAATGTGTTGAGTTTGAACTGTTCTCTAAGACATTAGAAGTAGCTCGGTTCAGTTTATCACTGAATGAAATGTACTTTTTTTTTTTTTTTTTTTACATATGTGATGAACTAGGTCTTTAAATTATCTTCACTCGTTGTTATTAACACGTAGTAGCCATTCACACTTGACCACGGTGTAGATCTTGGTGTGCAAAATGGACGTTTCCTAATCTAATGGATGACGATTTATGATTGTGACTTGCCAATTCAATCAATATGATTTTTAACACATGGAACAATTGTTGATTACTCTTGATTTGTCAGCTCCATATCGTTTGCACGGTCTTAAAAAGGACTGGGCTGTGTCATATGGGGTCCGTCTCACGCAGCTGCAAAAAGGTATTCCAAGACAACACAGCTTTGACCGCTCATATTTTTCTTCTTCTTACAGAGGAAACGAGAAGAGAAATAACGCAAGATGCCTGCAAGTGTGAAGCTCAGATACTGTTCCAGAAAAAAATGCAGTCAACCATTCAAGACTTGAGCAGAAGACATATCCTTTCCCCCTCTTATGACTACAGCTGCATTCTAAATCCAAATTTTGAATTTGATTGAGTCATCACTTAGTTTTAACAATGTTCTGCACTGATCAAACAGGAGCACTTTCCCTGGACAGTTGCTCTTGGTACTACTTTCTTAACTGTGAATCCACTCGATGACCTTTCAGACCGAGTGAACCAGATTGAAGACCAGCAGCAGTATTAGGGACAGTGATGATGTCACAAGACCAGCACAGAATTTGTATATTTTATCATTTTGGAACTTTCCCATGGAATTATTTTAAGTAATGAAAAAAAAAAAAAGATGTCGGACACTAATAGCACTTTGGTTTTATATTAAAACCCCTATATTTTCATTCCAAACATGTGTATGTATGTATGTAATCATTCATTCATTGTACTGTATTCATTGCTTTCTATGCATGTATTTTCTCAGAGGTCCGGATCAATGAACATCAAACTGTTATTCTTTTAGCAACAAGATGATAGTTCTAATCCAGTGGATTACAGCAATACTGTGCAGAGAAAAGATCATTGTAAAGTCGGATGCAGTTGGCCTGCCTGTGGCTCAGTTACATAATACTTTAATGGTGCACTTCTTGTATCAGTTCGTAACTTTTTCATTAATTTCAGTCAAGACTTTTGTTTTATTTGTGGTTGGTGTTGTTGTAAAACACAACAAAGGTCAAACATTTATTGACAATCAAATCTGTTCAATTGTCCATGTGACCTATTCAAAGTGTGCTCACTTGTAAGTACTGTATTTTCTGCTTCTCTCACATCCAATGGTTTGGTTGTGAACATGATAGCATTTTGTACTAATTCTGTGTAAACTGATGCCTTATATAAGAAATATTTTAATTACTGTTTCTTTTATAATGGACATGTTATTGGTGCTTGCTGAATAAATATTCTGAAATCATTTATTAAACAGATTTATTGTGCGTCTTTGACATTTTATCAATCCAGCATACATTTCAGAGCAATTCATTCAGTAAGCAATCCAGCAGAAATACAGTACCGTAATTAATTTAAGAACACTACTTATGCGGAAATAATATGAGTGTATGTGTTATTAAATGTATTAGAGCGTTTCTCTGCAAAATTTCAGACTGTCCACTTCTCCCCCCAAAAAACAACAAACAGCGTCATCTCGACAATCTTTGAAACTCGGGATCTGAATCATCCGTCCGTTACCCGAACCACTTATTTCATTAGTTCTCAAAAAAAATCTAAAATTGCCCATTTGCCCCTTCCAATTGTTGTGTATTAACTTGTTGACTTCCACGTAAATACAAAAACACATAGCTCTATTTTATTCAGATTTTTTTCTCTATGGCGAAAAATTACAGCTTCCAGCAACGTTCAAAATAAGAACTACAAGTACCAGAAATCCACCGCAGAGTGTACTGTTGCTACGGGCGACTGTGAGAGACTACGTGCGCCATGCTACATGTTGCGTAAAACGCCAAAAATGTGTTGAGTTTGAACTGTTCTCTAAGACATTAGAAGTAACGTCGTTAGTGTAATTATTGAAACAGGTCGTCTTATGTGTTTTGTGTTACGTAAACGCTCATTTTCTTGACAGCAAATTGTGTCGTGCTAGCTTAGCTAGCAAATATTTGCTAAGATTCCACGCCTGCGGATTTGAAAAGAAAGGCATAAATGAGCACTTCGGACTCATTGTAGCTATTTTTTACAAATGTGCGGTTGTGTATATTCCGCAATTTTCTGTGGTCGTCTTTCCGAGTGATTGGCGAACTGTAAAAGGTCAGTACCGCCTTGCTCTTTTACTAAATAAGTTAATTTTGGTTGCGATTTGCACCGACTAGCCGCGCTATTAATGAATACTATATCACTTGTACATGCAATGATATTACATATTCTGCGTTTCCCAATTAAATAAAATCCCAATTAAATACACGTCAGACAACACAAATATTAAAAAACAATCAGTGCGGTGTAGTACAGTTCATCCACAGTACTAACCATGTTGTTCAATAAATACTGGTCTGAAATTCTTAATCATAATTGAATATTATTCCCTACACCGTGCATCTCTTGCATTGGATGTCATTGCATTGTGCAAGGGGCTATAAAGTTGTGGCTACTCGGTGTAGAGTAACGCATACTATTTTTCACACTAGGTATAAAGAGACCTTAAGGATAACATGTTCATCTACCTCAGCAAGAAGGTGAGCACCCTGAACCTCACACTGACACTTTAACGACTAAAACCACAGGTTTATGTAACTGCTCTCTTGTCTTCTAGATTGCTATCCCCAACAGTATTCACTTGAAATGTGTCTCTTGGAACAAAGATCAGGGCTTCATTGCCTGTGGAGGAGATGACGGCCTTTTAAAAGTGCTCAAACTTGAAACTCAGACAGGTATGTTTGTGATTTGTAGACAACAGCCTGCAATATAATGTGCTGGGTTTAATGTGACACAGCTATGATGTTCACATTTTATTATACTACATCATCCCCAATGCACGAGACCTCGCAGGAACAGAGATAAGTGCTGTTTTGTGGCCACTGCTGTCATACTTCACAGTAGCGGATTATGCACCTCCCTTTGATTGCATTGGTTTTCTCCTATTTCTCTAGCACCCGCCCACATTCCAAAAACATAATTAAGACTCCAAATTGTCTATAAGTGTGAATGTGACTGTGAATGGTTGCTTGTTTATTGTATGTGCCCTGTGACTGGCTGGCAACCAATTCTGGATATCCTTCGCCTCTCGCCCAAAGTCACCTTGGACAGGCTCCAGTTCGACCACAACCCTAAGGGAGTGAAGTGATGATCAATAAAGGAAGGGTTGTGTGGTCCAAGCTTAATGTATCAAATGAGTGTTACAAGGACAACTTTCATTCGCAGCAGCCAGATCGCAAAGTCACCGTGTTGAGTTTGTTGTTCACTTGCATACAGCAAATCAACATTTAACATGTGTTTAAGTTGGTGTGTGAGACTGTTACATAAGATCCATGTGATTGAGATTTTAGATTTTGCGAAACAATAGTTCACTCAGTGTGTAAGAAATCTTTTAAAACTCACCAAAAGCCTTTCGGTGCTTTGCGGGTACCTCTGTATTAGTCCCTGTAAGTCGAACTGGTACCACCTCGTCCACTCCAACCAGACAAACAATAGTGAGACTCAATTCAAATTTGTTTTTTTCCCAAGTATTGATGCTGAATGGGCTCCCTTTTACTATTTCTTTTTTTATCTTGACAGATGACACCAAACTTAAAGGACTTGCTGCACCCAGTAATTTGTCAATGAACCAGACATTGGGGGGGCACAGCGGTGAGTCAACATTTGAGCCTTTTCTCAACCAAGAAAAGATAGAATCAGGGAGTGGGATTTGAGTGGGAAACAATAACACCATATCAATCATTTTTAGGTGCCGTACAAGTAGTTACATGGAACGAACAGTATGAAAAACTAACAACCAGCGACCAGAATGGACTCATCATTGTATGGATGCTCTACAAAGGTGCTCGCACCCTTTTATTATGAACTGATGATTGCGTCGTAATCAATCATCAATCATGTCCTAATATTGTAATTTCTTTTTTTTCTAAGGTGCATGGTATGAAGAAATGATCAATAATCGGAATAAGTCGGTGGTGAGGAGCATGAGTTGGAATGCCGATGGTCAAAAGATCTGCATTGTGTATGAAGATGGGGCAGTCATTGTTGGATCTGTAGATGGTAAATAGTAGAACTAGACAGCATTATTCATGAGTTCAATTTTGGCTTCTCACGTTCATCAAAACATTATAATAGAATAAAAACTATTCATGAGCCCAGTGGCGCGGTGTGCTTTTATGCACGTTCCTGCATTGTGAAAGCACCCTGAATGCTCCTGTGTGCCTTGCAGAAAGTGTGTATCGTATGTTTTATGCCCTCTCTGTGCA